GCGTTATGCTACGTTTTGTTACGTTATATTGCATTACGCTACATCATATTAAACTGTAATTGCTACATACATACATACATACATACATGCATGCATGCATGCATGCATGCATACATACATACACACGTACATACATACATACATACATACATACATACATACATACATACATACATACATACCATACCATACCATACAATACAATACAATACAATACAATACAATACAATACAATACAATACATTACATTACATGACATTACATTACATTACATTACATTACATACATACATGTGTATAGGTCTACTTAAATATATTAATGCATAGCTATACATCACGGTTTATGGTTGAAGGCTTGGGGTTTCTGCACTCTTAGGCGAAACCCTGAGCTGTGGGCAGAGATAGATGCCCCAGGTCAGCGAGATCCAGGTAGGATTCCTGCAGAAGTCGCGGGAAATTTGAATACGGCCTGGTCCGACCCCTTTTCTGAAAAAGCCAAGCTCCTAAACCCCAACGTGGAGGCCTGAACAGTGAATCATACTATTCCTCGGGCTCTTCAGTACAAGTATGGTGTAAAGCACCCAACAACCTTGTTCCAATTGTTGAGGCCCCTCTATTCACACCACCCATGCCTGGCTGGACACTCGAAACAGGTGCGGTTCTCGCTCTTCATGCGCAGCTTCCTGGAGTACCAACGCAAGGCAGGCTTTGGGGTTTCGGGTTCATGGTCTAATGTGGGTTAGGACGTTTACGATTCAAGTGGTATAGCCACTGCCGTCATTGCTTCGTTGGTACCATTCTCTGTATGTTGATGCCCGCTTTCAACATTCGCTTTTATACGCCGGTGCCTTGCGACATCTTTCCGCTAGACCCCATCGCTGTCCTCAGAGCACACTAGTCAACCTTTGTTACAAAAACTGGTTTGGGGATTTCGGCAGTAGTCTCCACGATTCTACGTCTTGACAGACGACGAAGCACTTTTGGGACTGCCGAAGGCGTGTTTCACCATGCATATTCCGAAGTAGCAACTCAAAACAGAAGAAGTGATAGTCGTGGCAGCGGGTTCCTAAACCCTGGACCGTAGACCCCCTCAGACGCGCTGAGGGCCATGCCTGAAAAAAGTATTGCGGACTTCGTCTGGCACGAAGCCCTTGCAAGCAGGACAGGCTTTGTCAAAATCCAATGTTGCCGAACAGCTTCCGACGAAGGACATATGGCATACCCAGTGAGCGCAATGCTCACGGCTACGCAACAAAAAGCACTAGCATTTCTTGGAAGTGCAATGGTAGTCGCTGCTCTGCGTGCCTTGTCATTGACCTTGCTCAGCGTGCCCTGACACTAGGGCAGGAGGTGGCAGTGTTCGACTTGGCTGCATACTCTTGACCTTCTGTTAGCATCATCCGTGCTGCAGCATTGATACTATTCTTTCTCTCGACGCTAGCATCACCAGTCTTGCTGCTGGGCGAAGACCTTTTTTATAGTGTTTGTGCTATCACTACTAGCGTTCTTATTGCAACCCTAAACGCTAAACCCTACAACCCAAACCCCAAAACCCTAAACCCTGAACCCCAAAAATCCTGTACCCCAAAAACCCTCAGCCCTCAACCCTAGACCCTAAAAGCCCTCAATCCTAGAGCGCTACCGAGCCATGGTCCTCTTCTGGAAGTCCCTGCCTGGCCTTAGGTAGTATTATTAGGGTACCCCTTATTAGGGTTTAGGGTTTAGGGTTTAGGGTTTAGGGTTTAGGGTTTAGGGTTTAGGGTTTAGGGTTTCCCCTTCTGAACCCTACTTTTGGCTCTCTTAAAAGGGACCTTATTGGGAGGGTCTATATCCCCAAGGGTCCCCCTAATCCTAGCTCCCAGGCCTGTCCAAGAGCCTGAAGAGCTTCGAGTCCATTCCAATCCATGGCTCTAGACCTGACAGGGCGCTTTTAGGGTACTAGGGTATTAGGGTTTAGGGGCTTAGGTTTTTAGGGTATAGGGTTTAGGCGGGTTTAGGCGCGGGTTTAGGGTTTAGGGTATAAGGTATGGGATTTAGGGTTCAGGGGCTTAGAGTTCAGGGTTTAGGGGCTTAGGGTTCAAGGTTTAGGGTTTTGGGGCTGAGGGTTCAGGGTTTAGGATTTAGGGTTCAGGGTTTAGGGTATTGGGGTTCAGGGTTTAGGATTTAGGGTTCGGGGTTTAGGGTCTTGGGGTTTCAGGGTCTTTGTTTTAATGCAATGCAAGTTCGACCCCGCAGCGAAGCGTCAGGCGCTGAGGATTTTGTTGCTGTAGCCCAGAAGTGGGGTTTCGCATTATGAGGCTGGGTTTAAGGGATTAGGGCATTAGGGTATTAGGGTATTGGGGTATTGGGGTTTGGGGTTCGAGGGAGTATAGTCACAAACCTTTCAACCCCAAACCTGTAGCTGCAAAGACCACATGAACATAGGGACCCCGCAAACAGGCACTTCTAGAATCCCCCTGGTTCTGTGACACCAGAGGAACTGGAGGATTGTTGTGTTTATGTGATACGTGCTGTTTTTGGGCCCCTAAGTCAGCTGATTGTAATAAGGCTGCCCCTTGTGCTGTACTCTACGGGGGAGGGTACTCCTGAGGGACCTGGATTACAAGGATAAGGTCTTCATAAAGACCTTATGTACCCATATTGAACTCCAACAAGCCTGGGATACCCATTCTATTCCCGTTACGTACTGGTAGTCCCTCTGTTGTCCCCCCCCTGCTGCAGAGGCCCTAAACCCTAAACCCAAAGTCCTAAACCCAAAACCCTAAACCCCAAGCCTCAACCCTGAACCCTAAACCTTGCGAAGCCCGCCGACCCAAATGGCTGGGTCGCAACAAGCTTTAAAGGTTTTGCGGTTTAGAGTTCAGGGTTTGCGGTGTAGGGTTTAGCGTTTGCGGTGTGGGGTTTAGGGTTTGCGGTGCAGGGTTTGGGCTTTGTGGTTTAGGGTTTAGGATGTAGTTCTTATCCGGGTACGCCCCGGGCATTGAGCAAACTGCCGCTAAGCCATCGACCCGACCACCAAGGAACTACACGGCTAAACGGCGCGTGACGGCCCTTAACCCCAAGCCCTGCATTTTCCTCAGACAAAACTATGCTGGATTGTAAGCTATGACTAAACTTGAGAGTGTGAAGCTTGAGAAAGGCTGCGCTTCGCTGACGCCTCCTTTCAATTTCAGCAAGAACCCCAGAGGGGGGTAACGTACGTACGTACATACCCGGGGGTTCAATGTGTAACGGCCCGTCTGATAACGGTTCCGTCTGAGGTGCTGGTGGTCATGCACAGTGCCCACGAGCGAGATACCCTCCGTCCCACACGTCTGCATCAAGCATGACCTGACGAGGATGAAACTTCTCTTTGAAAAGTTGGTAGGCATGCGTTTGCCAGTCCAGGTAAGCATTCCTGTCCGACAGCACCTTCCTCACTTTCGGGCTCCATGGCAATTTCGAAAACAGGTTAGGCTCGAAAAGGACAAGGTCCTCAAAAATCTTGGTGTCATTATCATTGCTCTGTTCTGACAAAACAACAGCTCCCATGCTAAGCAAGAGAGACAAACGAACAGTCTCCAAAGGTCTAGGAGATCTGGAATTTGTGTACATCATCGAGGAGTTGCAATACCTGTGCATGTTGAGGTAAACCACGCCTGGTTTTTTCACCAAGGCGCGCCAACCCCCTCCCCAAAGGGGAAACTCCTCAAACTTGGACAAAAGCGGACGGTTCTTCGCGTGCTTCAGGAAGGCTCTACATTTGTCTCGCCACGGGCTCCCCGTACCGATGAAAACAAGTTCTGGGCGTTTGCCAGCTGGCTTCGAGCGAAAGTCCATCACACTCTGTTGCACTGCCATATCGTTGGCACTCAGGGGGTTCAAGGGAGGCAGGAACCCTGGTGGTGTGTAGCGGACTACGCGGGCTATGGGGGCATTCGCCCTTGTGTATTCCCAGACCTCGCAAAGTCCAGGCTGCATGTAAGTCCCTCGACCGTGCGCCTCCAGCTCACTAAAGAACCAAATGCAATAAACTTCCCGTGGCCCGAAGGTGCTGTTGCAAAGCTCTAGAAAGCGTTTGTTCTCCTGGTGCCCAACGAGAATAACCACATCGCCGCGTTGAGGCTCTACCGGGAACCTGAAGTTCACAGATGCATGATGAGAGGCCATGAGAAAGACATGATACCCACACTCGGCGTCTCGGCTCTGAAGCCCTCGATAAACAGTATCCCACATTGGTCGGAAGACCTCGACAGCTTCATTCCCATTGTTCTCAGGCAGGCATGACAATACAAAAATGTTGTACACGTCCTCTTTGGTGTGATTTGGCTTGCAGCGGATTCCAGGATAGCAACATGTAGCGCTTGCCTTCGGAGCCTCGACAGGTTCGCGTTGTGGAAGCTGTGGAGGTTGTGGCGCAGGAGCTGTTGGCTGGCTGGCGTTCTTGGCTCCATCCTCGGCTTACCGATGTGCACCGAAACCTGGCCTTATCACTTCCCTTGGGAGAGTACGATAAATCTATTTCCTGGATGACGCAAAGAAGGCAGTTTCGAAAAAACGTGCACCTGAATGGCACTCCAAAACTACCACGAACAACCTGGGCATACCTACAAGACGCAGCAGAAAAGGAGTTCTGCTTGTCAATCAGATAGTTTCCTTGACAAAGCTTCTAACAACTGGATTTTGGGCGGCGGGTGGTTTCCCTACTTGCGACGTAAATTTACGTGTACGGCTTGCGGAACAGGGATTTTGGGTTTAGCTAAAGGGTGAAGGTAAGAAGAACAGCCAAGACACTGTCAGAAATTACCACCATGTTATCAAGCGGAGGTTTACGTTCCCTCAGTTATTTGAGAATTCGCGAGGCCTTCCTTCAATTTCTTAGCACTGCACTCGTTGTGGCGAAGTTTAGGTAACCCGAAAAGCACACAAGCAAAAACTAGACGGCGACTATCCCGAAAGCGAGCAGAGCAATGCTTGCGTGACATGTGTATTTGGCAACGATTTAGAGATATAAGTGTAGGCAGGCAATTGTGTAGTGCCAGTAGTACAAGTACTGTAGTTTTTTTTATTAGCGCAAGCAGGCAAGTGCATGAAGCAGGCAA